CCTCGTCTGCAGCACGAGCGTCGCTTTGACAGAAGAACGATTATCCAGCGTGACCTCCCCATCTCTTGTGGGACGCGGGGCAGTCCCAGTGGCCCATGCAACGTCAATGTATTGTACACGTTTCGGGCTTTCGATCCAGTGGTTCTGTGGGCTAGTGTTCATTCTCTTCCATGTGTGCCGTGGCGCGACGGCTACTACAACGTGGTTGTTTTTGTCGTTTGCGTTTTGTAGTCGATCAGCCTTCGCCCAATGTCCGTTCAGCTGTGCGTTTGAGGCCAGCCAGAAGCGGCTTTTGTGCGCCACCAAAATGACTATGTCCTGGGCTGCAGCGTCGTGCCGAGCCAGTTGGGACATGCATTGAGGGTGCGCACATATCAAGGGTGCGTGGCGTACAGCGCTATCGTGGTACTGCGCAAGTAATTGCATTAGCGGCTATGTGCCTGTTGTGAGAGATCCCGTGACATCATTCTTGAATGCTACTTGCGTGTTCTGAGAACTGGGTGATTTTGATATATCAGTCCCACGGTCGTCGGCATCTTCAGTCGCATGGCGGTCTGGCTTGAGGGAGGAACGCGAGGAGGAGGAGGAGGAGGAGGAGGAGGAGAAGGGATGGTATGCGTAGCCTCCAGCACGACACAGCTGGCAGGTGGAATCGCTGCAGATTCGAGGTGGTGGCTGGCCAGTTACACTTACTTGAGCGGAGACGTTCTTGGAAGGATTTCGGAATGATTGTCCTCGTTTGTTCTGCGATCTTGCTGAACATGGCCCTTGTTTCGCCTGAGGGCTGATTGTTTCGGGGAGCACCCCTGTAATCGGCTTCCTTTTCGACGCGCGCATCCCACTGCACCAAGCAGGTGCACAGGCCCTCACACATTCTGTGTCTTTATGATCCGTCAGCGGTGCCAGCCACAGCGTGCTCTGACGTAGTTGTTTTCTGACCCGTCGCTTCTCGCGCGCAACTGTCAGATGATTGCGCCTGCTCCCCAAATGCTTATGATGTCTGGCAGTGCGAACCAATGCGAGTCCACGCATCTTACAAGTTGGTTTGATTGCGCATCCACAGACGGCTACGAAAATGGTGTCGACCACGACGTGTGAGTTGGCGTCCTGCTCGAGACCCTTTGCGAGCGCAAGGGCGTTTTGGCAGGAGGGTCCGAGCATATTTGTCAGTATGCAGCTGGCGGGTTTCGCTGCCCAGCCAGATGCGATGGCAGCTCCCAGCTGCAACGCCCACGCGTGAGGCACACGAGTCCCATCCCTCGAGCGTGCCGGTACGCCGCGCGCGTGCCATCGCTTACATCCGGCCACACTGGACCTGGGCGGCGCCGCTGCTGACCCGTGTCCCGGCGGACTACACCAGGCGTTTGTTCCGGGCCTTGCTCAATACACGCTGCACTTGGTGGTGCTACGGCCGTTTCTAGGCCCTTGACACCAGTCTGCACCCGCAGTACTCGCAGGCTCTCCAGAGCCTCCACGCCGTCTCCCACTCCAAGCTAGTCTGGAGCGACTTCGTGCAGAACGCCATCGCGGCGCACGCCGCGTCCCTGGGCCTGACGTTCATCGCGTACAGCGACGACACCCGCGGCGTGCAGCTCGAGGTGTCCCCCACCGACGACCACCGCGTCCTGCAGGTGACGCGACAGGTCCGCGGCGTTAACTCCCAGCGCTTCTGGACCACCCACTGGAAGGCAGCCCACGCGCTGCGCGCGGTCGCGCGCGTCCGCTGCCTCCAGCAGGCGCGACAGACCCGGCTCGACAGCGAGGAGGTTGACGACGTCGACGTCGACGCGTCGTCGCACCGCTACTTCGCGAGATGGCACTCCAAGCTGGACGACAACGACAAGAAGCTTCTCACCATCTACCGCAGTGGTGCAGTGTCTACATCCACGCGCCGGCAGTGCCCGCACCCGTGCAGGTACTGCAACCACGCCCAGCCGTCTTTCCGGCACTTGTGGCTGGAATGCCCCGAATTTGCACACGAACGCCGTCATTTGGAGGGGGAGTTCTCCCTCCCACACTATTTCTGGGCGTCGCAGCCCCGAGTGACGAGCAAATCCGGATGGATCACCTACAAGGCGGGTCCGTCGCCTATGACGCGTGCGAGGTACTTGGCGGCGACGTGCGAGCTGGCGCTATGCGTCCTTCGTCGGGGACTTCGCGGTGAAGCAGGCATCCTCCACCCGCTCGACATCGAGGGGCAGCCTGAGGATCTTCCAGTGGGTCTACTCCAGAGCTAGGGTGTCCCACCAACCAGTGAGCCGGCACGCCGCGCACTGCGCGTTCTGCCATGGAGGGCGTCCTGCTCGCAGGGCAGTCTCAGCGCAGATGTACTTGAAGGAGCTCGCCGATGGCCGTCGCAGCACCTGGGAGCCAGTACGCATGGTCTGGTTCTTTCGCGACAGCCGTGGTGACGGCGATGCCGTGAATCGGTTTGGGTGTCGATTTGCGCCGCGCCAACGGCGACGTTGGTATAGTTTTGTTGCAGTGCGGCTTTGTATTGTGGTTTTGCCGCGGCGGCCATCCGCATCTGAGGCGGAGGAGTTGCTGAGATGAATACTTCTGGCTGGCGATCGCTCCTTGCACTAGCGTGCCGACATCGTGGCAGGCTCTTCCGAAAGGGGTGGTGGCATCGTGACTCCTACATGTTCTCGCTTGCCGTCGCGGGTGGTTCCGTCTTTCGCCCGAATACCGAAACAACACGGGTAGCATTCGAGTTACGGTAGGTTCGTGTCTTGTCGATGCGGCGGCGACCCCGCCGTGGTCGTTCAAGGTTGAACGCCGTAGTGGCCCATATTCGGCCAAGCGAGAAACCGCCGACCGTTCCAGGCTGAACGATCCATCCCAACGCCGGGGTCGTCACGACACGAACCTGCGGTCGCGCGATCGCCTCCCTCGGGAGGGGGAAGAGGAGGAGGAGGAGGAGGAGGAGGAGGAGGAGGAGGAGGAGGAGGAGGAGGAGAAGGACCAGTGTAAGCCCAAGAGCTATCAACGATGTTGGAATAAACCCTGCCTCCAAGCTCCCTCTTCATAGGCTTCTACAACGGTTCATTTCCATCGTAGGAACTGCCGGTTTGGATGACAACCGCTGGAAGACCCTGAAGCATGCCAAGACATTGTTTTCGGGATTCCGACGCCATGCATCAACCTGACTGTTGCGCCTTGACAATTCTGCATCGTGCCAGAACGCCCTCCCTGAGACTTCAGCGCATAGAATCAACATAACTGTTGCGCCCGCATAATCCTGAATCCATTCAAAACACCATTTCTGGCACGTTGATGATGGGAATCCGTGAAATTCTTGCGAATACGAGTGTGCGCGGCGCTCGGGCGAAAACAATATTTTGAAACCAATCAACTCGTGAAACTCTTCCAAATTATTTAAACGAATGTGCGCGGCTGTGAGGCGAGAGCCATCTTTTGAAAACCACCCGCCCTCAATCCGTGAAACTGTTGCAAATGTTTGAAACGACTGTCCGCCGCGCTAAGGCGAGAGCCACATTTCGAGATCGACCCGCCCTCCATCTGTGAAGCTGTTGTCATTGTTGTGTGTTCCAGGGAGAAGTTATTTATAAGGCAAAGAAATGGAGGAGGAGGAGGAGGAGGAGGGAGGAGGGAGGAGGGTGGAGGAGGTGGAAGAGGAGGGAGGAGAGAGGAGGAGGAGGAGGGTGGAGGAGGTGGAAGAGGAGGAGGAGGAGGAGGAGGGAAGAGGATCCATGTCGCCCGCGATCAGCAGGCTGGGCTTCGCGTCCGCAAGCCCCCTCTGTGTGCTTCGGGGCCTGAGGCCGCCTGCGCCGCGCGCGAAGGCCGTCGTGCTCCGGCCGTGTCCACGCCCGCCTGCTGCTCGCCCGCCTGCGTCCTCCTCCTCCTCCGCCTCCTCCTCCTCTCCCCTCCTCCTCCTCCTTTCCTCCTTCCTCCTCCTCCTCCTCTTCTCCTCCTCCTCCTCCTCTTCCTCCTCCTCCCTCTCCTCCTCATCTTCCTTCTCCTCCTCGTTTTCCTTCCCCCCCCCCGCCGCCGCCCTCGGGCTTTCTTCTCCCCCCTCCGCGCCGCTCCTGCCCCGGTTGTCCCCCGAGGCGTCCCTCGGCTCCCCCCGACCGCGCCTTGGACCCGAGTCGCCGCAACAAGGAAGTTTTCTCCTGCCTCCTCCTGCCTCCTCCTGCCTCCTGTCTCCTCCTCCTGCCTCCTGCCTCCTCCTGCCTCCTCCTGCCTCCCTCTGCCTCCTCCTGCCGCGGCCGTTCCTGTTTTTTTCCCCGCCGCATCGGCGGATCGCGTGCCAGCCTGCGGCCCGCTCGCTGGTCCCGCCGGGGCGCGCCCTGTGGCCCACGCCGCTGCGACACGACGTCAAGCATTGGCGAAGCGTCCTGGCGTGCCCAATGGGCCCAGCAAGGAATGTTCTGGGGATCTCTTGTGGTTTGCACGAAATGTTCTCAGAGCATGTCTGGCCGAACCTGTCTTGCTTTAGCACGTCCGGTGTCTGTGCTAAGAACCTTGTTGTTGTGGTTAGAACACTCTTGGGCTCCGAGAACATATCGTGGTAGGCCTATAGGAATGCCGGGACGGTCGGTCCCTGTTCAAAACACGCTAAAGTAAGGACTCGGGAGCCTGGTGTTTCTTGGTGTGTGGTTGCACATGCCTTCTGCAGCTGGAGACGTGTTGGCATGGAGCGTTCCGTGAGCCCTCTCAGAGTTTGGGTTCGATCTACCCTCGCCTTCCGTCCGCAGTATTTCCTCCAAGTGCGTCCCTGGGTTCTGCGGTCGACTGGTCTTCGTTCCGCCAGTATGCGCCCAATATTGCGAGCAGCGTCGCTCCAGACCGAACCTGGGTCTGCTTCAGGGTGGATATCTAGATCTGTCCTTGGGCGTTTTTTGCAGAAGAACATCTTGCCACCATCTCTGCGCACTGATATTCAAGTGTAAACTTGCCCCCGATCTCCATCAGTGCATCGCTGTTCTTGATCGTTGCCGTCGTCACTGCAGTCGTACAGATGGCCCCTCTTGCCCTCCAGCCATATTTTTTCGAAGTGCTTGCCTCGCATTCGTCTTGTTCCTGCATCTACCTCTAAGTGCACGCGATGAGCGCGGCCAATCCTGTTAGACAGCTCTTCTCGACGCAGGGCCTCGAAGTAGGCCAGGTCCAGCGACTGCTTAAGAGCGTTCATGAGCTCGGAGTGCCCGTCACCGCCTTTGCCACGGAGTTCTGCTTCAACGTCGAGTCCAGCGCGCCCCTCAGCCCAGAGGACATGACAAAGGTAAAGTGGTGCCTAGCCGAGGGGGGCCACGTAATCTCCGCCGAGACCCGCCTGAGCGCAACAGGGCACGACTTCATCATTGAGGTCGGGCCGAGCCACCCTCTCCCCGCCTCCCTCCCCTCCTCCCTCCTCTTTCTCCTTCTTCATCCCTGGCTCGCTCCCACATCTTTCTCCCTTCCTTCCCCCCTTCGTCTCCCCATCTCGTCTCGCTTCCCTCCTTCCCTCCTCCTCCCTCTCAGCTTCCTTCTGTCTCCCTCCTCGGACCGCTCCACCTGCTCCCTCCTCCCTCCTTGTCCAGGTCGGGCCGCGCATGAACTTCACCACAGCGTGGAGCACGAACTGCGTCTCGGTGCTGCGGGCAGCAGAGGTGGAGTCAGTCTCGCGGCTGGAGCGCTCCCGGCGCCTTCTGGTGTCCTCCGCCGCGCCGCTGTCGAAGGAGGAGAAGGCACCTGGGGGAGGTCGCAATCGCACGCCTAACAATGCGATCACACTTGCACCTCGGCCCTCTGTCCCTCACCCTCCTCCCCGTCGTCCCCGTCGTCGTCGTCGTCGTCGTCGTCGTCGTCGTCGTCGTCGTCGTCGTCGTCGTCGTCATAATCGTGCTCCGCCGGCGGTTCCTGAACTGCCATGTGTTTCGCCCGCAGTAAGGCGCCTTCGCCCCGCCCGCCCTGGGGCGGGGCGCCCTCCCGCCATCAGCTGTGACGCGTGCGCGGGCTGTGTGCGGGCTCCGCCACCCTCCCTCCTCGCACCGCTGCCGCTGGACGGCACACGGCACCTTGGAGCCATTGCTTGCAGCCCCGGTGCCCGCCTCCTGTGCCGGTTCGGGTGCCTGCCATCCTCCCCGGGGGCCCCCAAACGGGGTGGTGACCGCACCGTGCGGTGAGTCGGTGGTCGGTGGGGATTCGGGGTCACCGCACGGTTTTGGGACTAGGGTCGTTCTCCGAGGACGTCTCGGGCGACTGGGGCGTCCGAGGTCCCAAGACCGTGCGCTGGCGGACAGTGCGGTGAGGTCTTGGGGGATTTCGAGGTCACCGCACGGTCTGTCACCGCACCGTTTCGGGACTCCAAATCCCTGGTCCCCAGTCGCCGCCACGGCTGTGCTGAGAGGTGGCGCGACCCCGCGCGCTGAGTGTCCGCTGCCGGGCGCGCCGCTGGCGGGATCGGTCCCTGCGGGGGCGATAGAAGCTCGAGCAGCGGCAGTCGGCCTCGCCCGCCGCCCTCCGGCCCTGGCCTCAAGCTGGGACTGTCCCTCTACAGGGGGAACATCCAAAAAGTAAAAAATAGTCTGGGGACGATGTTTCGTCCTCTCTTCACTGTGTTTGAACACTTGTTTGCTATTTTTATTTCTTCCTCCAAAATCCCCTGTAGGGGGACACGCCCGACTTAACCCTGGCCTGCGCCCACTTTGCTGCATTTTGCCGCATCTGTGCTCACCAGCCAGCTTTTGGCACCGGCAGCCCGCCCCCGCTTGGTGCAGCCACCTGCACCTCCGGCATCGCGCTTGACGACTCGTCCGTCGTGGAGTTGCCCGCCCATCTGGAAAGCAGTTCATGAAGCCTGGTTCCCCAATCGCCTTAAGCCCTTCCATCTGGACCAAGGCTCGCTCTCGCTCGCTCCCTCTCGGACGATGAGCGTAACCTCGCCAGTCAGCGAACGATGAATTCCTCGTAGCGTTTCGCTACAGGGTTCTGATGGTGAGTCAAGATTTCCTCCCACCAGAGTCTCCACAGGGGGTACCGGGGGAAGGCGTCTCCCAGGTCTGGCGGCGACCCTGAAGACCGGCCCGGCAGCCCTCCTTGTGGTGTTCTGGCTCGATCTGGTCAAGAGCTGCGACTCACTATAGTGTTCTAGCTGGATTTGGCCCGCAAATGCGAGTCACTATTGCGGCTATTGCGTAGGAGAGAGCGTGATCCACCGCCGCTTTACTGTGGAAAGTTGCCGCACTTTTCCTCCGGAGCCCGGGGGTCCCCCCCCCCCCTCCGAAAATCCCCCCCCCCTGCTGGAACCCCTCCCCCCCCCCCGTCCTCCCCGGCAAACCCCCCCCCTCCCCTAACCCTCCCCCCCCCCCCCTCCCCCTCGAAAACCGGGGGGGGTCACTACCGGTTCGAACCCCCCCCCCCCCCTCGAAAACCGGAGGGGGGTCACTACCGGTTCGAACCCCTCCCCACCCCCCCCACTCACCGCCAGCAAACGACTCCCGGTCCCTACCACCGTCCGCACCACATCCCCCACTGTTGTTCCCAGCACCACTGTCCTCACCACCACTGTCCCCACTGGCTTCACCACCGTCCCTACTCTCCCCACCAGTGCCCCCCTCCACTGTCGCACTGTCCCCACTGTCCCCACCACTGTTCCCACCAGGGTTCCACTCTCCCCACTTTCTCCACGGCCCCAAACACTGCCCGACTATCCCCACTGTCCCCACTGTCCCACTGACTCCTCCGCTGTCCCGCTAAGCTGTCCCACTGTTCCCACCACTGTCCCCACTGTCCGCACCACTGTCCCCACTGTACTTGTGTCCAATTGTCCCACCGCCGTCCTCGCCACCGCCTTCACCACTGTCCCCACCGCTGTACCCTCCACTGTCCCACTGTTTCCACCTCATTCCCACTGTCCCCACACCACTGTCCCCACCACCACCGTCCCCACCACTGTCCACTGTCCCTACTGTTCCCACCATTGTCCTCACCACTGTCCCCACCACTACCGTCCCCACCACTGTCCCACTGTCCCCACCACTGTCCCGCTGTCCCCTCACCACTGTCCCCATCACCACCGTCCCCACCACTGTCCGCACCCCCCCCTCGGTTTTCGATGAGAGGGGGGGGGGATTCGAACCGGTAGTGACCATCCCCAGTTTTCGAGGGGGAGGGGGGGGGGGTTCGAACCGGTAGTGACCCCCCCCCTCTTTTCATGATGAACGGGGGGGGGGGGGGGAGGGGTTCGAACCGGGTAGTGACCCCCCCCGTTTTCCGGTGGGGGGGGGGGGGGAGGGGTTCGAACCGGTAGTGACCCCCCCCGGTTTTCCGCCAGCAGCGGTAGAACACGCTCTTTCAGATATAGACATCAGACTCATTCGGACGTTCTGGATCGATTTGGCCCAGAACTGAAACTCACTGTTGTGGAATGGCTCGATTTTATTTCGAATATTCCTTTTCACCAGAATCTACATAAAGCGCACGGAGCGTTTTGGCTGGAATTCAACCCTCGCTTATACAGACATGATATTTATTATGGTGTTCTGGCTCGATTTGATCCAGAAATGGGGCGCGCTATTTTCTCCTAGGTTGAATTCTGCTTTTCCAGACTCAGACATTGCACACACTAGGTAACTCTGGTTCGATCCGGTCTAGACGTGAGGCTCATCATGGTGCCCTGGGGGGCGATTGGTTGGTTTCGATTTCAGACGAAATGATATTCACTATGATGCGATGGTTCGATCGCAGTTCCAGAAATTGTGACAGGGGCATCGAGTTCTCACCATTCATTGTCCCAGGCCCAGAAAGTGTGACAGGGCCATGGGTTTCTCAACATTCCAGCTGCCAGGAGCGGGGTCGCTCGGTCCCTAATGCTGTTCCAAGCGTGTTCATGTCACGAAGCCAACATCACGAACGACACCCTCATCAGCAGGTTCTATTCCGCAATCGCGTCGACAATATGATGCGGTCGTTCTCGCAAGCTGGCGCTTCAGGCGTCCATTCGCTTCCACACCTTGTACAACATGGATTGCCATTCGTCGCACACAGCTCAGGTCATTTCAGCACGGGCAGCCCGTGCGCAGCGATGTAGCTGCATTGCGGGAACACCCCTGTCTTCAACTACCCCATACGCCATTCTTGGGACGTCAGCGCCGCGAACCAACGTGTCTGTTGCGTCTGGACAGTCCTGAATCGTGCCAGAACAGTAATCCTGGGACTTCAACACCGCGAATCCACGTGCTTTTAGTGTTCTGACAAACCACACGTGCCAGCACATCATTCCTGGGACGTATACCCTGCGAGTCTTTGAGACAGTTGGAAACTTATGAGGCGAATGGGCGCGACGTTGATGCGGGAACGACATTTTGAAACAGATCTGCCGTTCGTCCTTGAACTGGTTGCAGGCAGGCTTCTAGGACGCATGTGCGCGGTGCCAAAGATGGAACTTCATTTTGAAGAAGAACCGCCGTCCATCTTTCTGTTGCCAACTTGTAAACGAACGTGTGCGGCGCTGAGTCGGGAAGCGCATCTTGAAAAACGGACCCGCACATCATCTTTGAACATGTTGCGCATTTGTTTATAAAAAACGAATGCACGCCACGCTGATGCGATAGCAGCGTTTCAAAAAAAGGCCCCGCCCTGGCGCGGCGCCACGGCGAGACCAACATGTTGAAAACCAGTCATCCTCTATCCTTCCGGTTGCTAAACAGTTCAAGTTTCAGGGTCATGAATGGTGGGGGCGTGTGAAACGCCTAGCCGGCCTTACCGACACGCCTGGGGGTGCGACAGGGATGAGTTTTGTATTTAAGAAGAAACGATTTTAAAAGGAAGGAGGGAAAGAGAGGAGCGAAAGGAGGAGGAGGAGAAGGAGGACAAGGACGAGGAGTAGGATGAGGCGAAGGAAGAGGTGGAGGAGGAGCAGCAGCAGAGGACGGATCATAGGACGAGGGGGATTGGGGGCTCTTGGGAGCCTCTTCGGAGAGCCTCAGAGGGGCCTCGTCGGGTTCCCTGGCGCGTCATGGGAGCCTCTTGCGAGCTTCTGTGGGCCTTCTGGGGGGCCTCGTTGGCAGTCCCAGGGCTCTCTTGTCCCGTCAAATCCCCGGGTGGCCGTCCGTCTTGGGGGGCGCTCTGGGCCCTTAAAGCGCCCCAAAAGTTTTGGGGCGCTTTCAGGAACCTCTCCGGGCCGCCCTGGGGGGCCCCTGATCCCTCGTGGGGCATGTCCGGGCTCTCATGTGGAAGGCGCCTTAGGGGGTTCTCTTGGGCCGCCTTGCGGGCATTGTAGGCGTCTTGCAGCAAGTTTGGGCCACGTTTGAGCACTAGTGTGTATTTTGGAGGCACTTTGGGACCGTCTTGGGAGGAGAAGCCACTGGAAACCCTGTCTGCCGCGTGGCCCCCTGCCTTTTCTGGGAATGCCGACTTGGCCAAACGGTGGGCCAGCGCATGACCAAGCTAGTGGGCTGCGTGTGTGCGTGTGTGTGTGTGTGTGTGTGTGTGTGTGTGTGTGTGTCCCCAGCCGTTGTGGAAACCCCCGTGGGAACATGTTTTGTGTGTGGGGGGAGAGAGAAAGTGAGATAGAGAGAGAGAGAGAGAGAACACAAAAGAAAGACAGAGAGAGAGATGAGAAGGCAAGCTAGGTGCACCCGCGCCTCATCAGACATCCTATCCCTCCCTCCCCTTCCTTTCCATGGCGCTGATTTTCTCCATCCGCGGACGCGTGTCATAGTCGACCTGCAATTGTACAGAAAGACTACTTGGTGCTATGCGAAATCGGAAAAAAGGTGATCTGCGTGCACAGGCGGCTGAGGAAGTGGGTGGCCAGGAGCATGATCGGGAGAAAGGGAGGATGAGGACGAACAGCAGCAGCAGGAACTAAAGCGGACGGATCGCGAGAACAGGCAGGACCAGGGGAAAGCGGAGGAGTGGATTTGAGGGTGGCGGCAACAATAACGAGACATTCGGAGTCCGAGAAGTGGCCCGCGCTGGGGCGAGACGACCATCAGCAACAGGAGATGGAGTGGAAGGGGCGGGAGGAACAGGAGGACCAGCGAAAGGCGGAGGGGAAATGAGGGGGGGACCACGATGAAGCAAGACTTGGATCCAGAAAAGTGGCTCGCGCTGGGGCGAGAGCGCCACCCTGAACGACGGGAGCACAGCGCCGATCCGAAAACGAGGCCCACGCTGCAGCGGGGACACCACTTTAAAACACCGCAGACAAGCGGATTGCAACACAAACCGTAAGACACAACCCATGTTTGAAATCTTGTGGGTGTGGGGGGGGGGGAAAGCACGCGGAGGGAGCGGGAGATCGCCTGGACAACTTCTGGTGGGGAGGGAACGCCATATTCATAGTGTTGAACTGTAGAGGGGGGATGATGATGATAAGGAGGAGGAGGGGGAGCAGGAGGAGGCGGAGGAGGAGGAGGAGCGGGAGGACGAGGAGAAGGAGGTGGAGGAGGAGGAAGAGGAAGAGGATGAGGAGGAGGAGGACGAGGAGAAGCTGGAAGATGATGCCCCTTGAGGTCTTATTAGGGGCCTTCTGGGGCTCCCCGGGAGCCTTCTGAGGGCCTGTGAAGGGCCTCTTGGGTGCCTCCTGGGGCCTGTTTGGGCCGTCGTGGCGCCGGGTTTCAGCGCTTTAGGGCTGTCTTGGAGATCTATGAGACCGTCTTGGGGGTCTCTTGGGGCACTCTTGGGGGCTTGCGGGTCCGTGTTTTGGCTGTCCTTGGGGCCTCTGGAGCCGTCTTCGGCTGGTTGCCCCGACGAGGTGAGAACAGCCTAAGGGTGATCAGGGTTTCTGGCATCCTGGAAGTCCTCTCTGTGTCCTCTTGGGGCGTCTTCGGGCACTCGTGGGCAGCCTAGAGGGTACCTGGCGCCGTCTTGGAATCATAGTGAGCCATCTGGGTTGCATCTTGGCCCCTCTTGGCCCCTCTTGGACGTCTTGAAGGTGTCCTGGGACCATCTTGGAGGTCATATTTGGCCAACTTGGCCGTCTCGGAGACGGGAGCTGATATGTACGAGCTGTTCGGGGTGGCGCTTTCTCTTGCTCGGCGGTGGCTAATGTGTTTGTCTCCTCGTGGGGCCGTCTGGGAGGCCTTCTGGGTCTCTTGTGGGAGCCTTGGGCCAGTCTGGAGGCGATATCGAGGGCCCTCATGAGCCGCCTTGCCTTGGGCGCTCTCAAAACCGAAGAGGCGAGAATGGTCAAAATCATTGAATTTCGAAAGCTGGGATTATCTCACAGCATGTTGGAGTTTTCGAATCCAAACTCGCTACCCAGGCTTGGAAACATTTAACGACCGTGACAGGGGCACCTGGAAATCCAGGGCCAGGGGGGGCGTAAGAAGAGTTAATGCACCTCGGGGGGCTGCACTAAGTCTCGCAACACGGTGGCAGATCTTTACGTCGTGCAGCCCTCGACAACATGAACCTCAGAGCCGGGTCGGGTGGCTTACTTGTGCGTGTGCGTGTTTGTGCACGTCTAAAATTTTATTGCACGGTTAGTTGGCACGTCTTTTTTAGTGTCGGTCAGCGTAAGGTTGGCTACGCGCACCTAGTCTGAGCACGTTTCGCTTTGCTTCGACATTTTAGGGGGCAAAACCGTTTTGAAAGAATTTGGTAGCGGACTGGGTACCCCTCGCAAGGCAACCTTGGTCGATGCCCTCCACGACAGAATGACGGAGATGGTGTACCCGACCCCCATCGCTTCATTCGAGAGCGGCGTTGTCCCCAAGCCAGTGCAGTGGATCCCAGTTCTGAAGGATGGTAGGGCTGCGCTGGAGCAGATAAACAAGGAGCTTGGTCTCGGCTTCGACGATTGGGATTACGAGTATTACCTGAACCTTTTCGTGAACGACCTGAAGCGTGACCCTTCGGATTGCGAGCTCTTCGACCTGGCACAGTCCAACTCCGAGCATTCGCGCCACTGGTTCTTCGGGGGCAAGATGGTCATCGACGGCCAGGAGCAGGAGGAGTCCCTGTTCAAGATCGTCAAGGAGACGCTCTCCAAAAACCCCAACGCCAACAAGAACAGCGTGATCGCTTTTCACGACAACAGCTCGAGCATCGTCGGTGCGAAGGTGCCAATGCTCCTGCCCACCTACTACACGGGGCAGGCGGGGGAGCCTGGCAAGCCCTGTGCGTACACGCAGGCGGACGTGGACATGGACCTGCTCCTCACGTGCGAGACGCACAACATGCCGACGGGCATCTGCCCCTTCAACGGAGCCGAGACCGGCACGGGGGGTCGCCTGCGCGATGTGCAGGCCACAGGCATCGGGGGGTCGTACGTCGCCGGCACCATCGGGTACTGCGTAGGCGCGCTGAACCTGCCCCACGACAAGAAGCCTTACGAGGACCCGAGCTGGAGCTATCCCTCCACAATGGCCAGCCCCGCTAGGATCCTCATCGAGGGCTCCAACGGATGCAGCGACTATGGCAACAAGTTCGGGGAGCCCCTCATTCTCGGCTTCTGCCGCTCGTTTGGGCTGCGCACCGCCGGAGGGGAGCGCCGCGAGTGGATCAAGCCCATTCTGTTCACGGGCGGATTTGGGCAGATGGACAGCAAGCACAGGAAGAAGCTCGACCCTGAGGTCGGCATGAAGGTCGTGAAGATCGGCGGGCCTGCCTACCGCATCGGCATGGGCGGCGGCTCCGCTTCCTCCAGGGCAGACGGGGACTCCCGCTCCGACCTGGACTTCAACGCGGTGCAGCGCGGTGACGCAGAGATGGAGCAGAAGATGAACCGCGTGATCCGGGCCTGTTGCGAGCTGGGCGAGCGCAACCCGTTCATCCAGCTGCACGACCAGGGATGCGGTGGGAACTGCAACGTGCTGAAGGAGGTCCTCGACCCGATCGGCGGGCAGATCGACATACGCGAAATTGTCCTGGGAGACCCCACCATGTCCGTAGTGGAGATTTGGGGCGCTGAGTATCAGGATCAGGGGCAACGTTAGTAAGGGGAATAGTTTTAGCGGGGACGTATTGGTCACGAATCGGCCATTAATCGCCGATGCGGGCCCGATAGCCCACCCCGCCCAGGAACGTGCGGTTTCGCTATCGGGGGCCCATTGCCGATCTATCAGCGATGTATCGCCCATTCAAGCTCGATGGGTCCCCCCCTGACCTGGCCTCCCACCCCGAATGTTGCCCCTCACAGGAAAGCAACTGCTGCCTCGTCCGCGAGGAGTCACTGCCGCTCCTGAGGCAGATCGCCGAGCGCGAGCGCTCCGCCGTCACCGCCGTTGGCACCATCACTGGCGACGGCACGTGCACCGTGCTCGACAAGAGAGACGGCTCCGTCCCCGTGCAGCTGCCGCTGGACAAGGTCCTCGAAGAGCGGAGGTTGATAGAGCCACCACCCTGCCAAGTCGATTCGCGAATTGCCACTGCTCGGTTCTCGGGAGGCCTTCGCGGCCGCAAGGGTTACAGGCCGGCGCCCGCCAGATCTGGTCCCGGCTCGTCTCATGAAAGAGTGCTCTGTTAAAGATCAAGAGATGAAAAACCACCCGGACCGGGCAATTGGCATTTACCAAACGGCCCCGGGCGTTTACTGAACAGCCCTGCCTTGTTTAATTCCTTCTCTGGGTGCGTTTACGAAAAGGCTTCGCGTGCCGGGGCGGTTCTTACCGGGGTGGATTTTCTGGCCTCTAAGAGGGGGAAGAACAACACATGCCGTAAACATACGCTTTCGGAGCTCCCCGCGGACTCAGACAGGCGTCGGGCCCCTCCTCGGACAGGCGCGTCCGGCGCCGCGTAGCGCGGAGCTAAGATCGACTACGCGTAAGAGTGACCTTTCGCCAGAGTGACTTTTGGTGCGGGCCCTTTGGGGTCCAGCGGCTTGCGCGCCGTGGTTTGGCCGCCCCGAGCCTCCCGTTAAGTCGCGCATCAAAGGTCACTCCTGCCCTGGGTCACTCACACGTATGGCCGATCAGAGAGTTGATGTTTTAGGATTGCGAGGTTTTCAACTTCTGGCCACAGGCCTGGCCCATCCTGGGCCTGGGACCGGCACGTGTGCCTCTCCGGCCAAGCCAGGCGGGCGCATAATTACACCGCCTATGGTGCCCAGGGCGGGCCAGGCCTGGGGCAGTGGACACGTGTAGATCCCTTTTCCTACGTTTCTGCAGTGTCTTGTTCCTCTGCAGTGCCTTGGCAAGCCTGTCCTGTTCTTACCACGCCCTCTCGTCTTCATTCTCCTCCACGGCTGGTGCCTCCCAGCGTGCGAGCTGGCAATTTTCATCAGCACTGCATGTGGCTCATGGAAAACAGGTCCTCGGCAAGCTGCCCCCTAAGACGTTCCGGTCGAACCGCGCGGACCTCGTGCCCGCGGCGGACCCGCCCGGCATCGCCGCGGCGCTGTTCGGCCGCTCCGACGCGACCTTGCTGCCGGTGACCCTGGACCTAGTGCTGTCGAACGTCACGGTCGGTTCCAAGAGGTTCCTGACCAACAAGGTGGACCGTTGCGTCACAAGAGGCAGCGAGGTTTGGGGTTCAAGGTGTTCGGCCGCTTTCGTTGGGTATCCGCAGTTTCCCAGTCTCGGAATGCCTTCGAGGGTGTTCCCGAGGTGCCCAGACTGTCCCGAACGGCCGCTGGAGAGCCGATCTCTGGCCCGAAAACCAGCTGAGGCGACGATAGGGATCGAAGAAGAACAAGTTGCGTAACCATAATTTCTTGGCGCTCAGCGCGGAGTTCTTGGATCGGTGCTGGGCCTCCCTGGCGGCGCCTCTGGCGCCGCCCCTGGCGTGCTCCGCGCGCCAGTAAGGGGGGGCTCAGCTTACAGCTCTAGGAATCCGTGCGGACCTTCTGAGAAGGCATGTCTATGCCGTTGTTCGTTGCTACAGAGGTGAGCTATAGAAGAAAACGGGGTCGACTGCACGGACATCCGCGCCGACGCGTCCCCCGTAAGCTCGCACGTAGGCGCGTCAGCATCCCCCTCTTCCTCGCGGTGCGCCGCGCCGGCGGCCCGCTCAGACCGTGGCGGTAGGGTCGTGGTGCCCTCTCGCGCAGGGCCCGCTCCCTGCCGCCGCTCAGGTGGACCGCAGCGTCACTGGGCTCATTGCGAGGCAGCAGTGCGTCGGGCCACTGATGACGCCCCTCGCCGACTGCGCGGTGATCGCGCACTCGATGCTGACGCCGGACGGCGTGCCCGTGAGGGGCGGCGTGACCGCCATCGGCGAGCAGCCCATCAAGGGCCTCCTCTCCGGCCCCGCGAACGCACGCATGTCCGTCGGCGAGGCGCTCACGAACATCGTGTGGGCCAAGTGCACCGCCCTGGGTGACATCAAGTGCTCGGGCAATTGGATGTGGGCCATCGATGGACACAAAGCTACACAAGCATACATTAGATTTAAGTCGGCCCTGTCCCTCTACAGGAGGGATATTCAAAAATAGTCAAAAATATTCTGGGGACGATTTGTTATTTATTGTTTAGCATGTTTGGAGCATTTGCGGTGTCTTAAAACCAAAATCGTCCAAGATCCACCGATAGGGGGGCACGCCCGACCTGAAATTAGATGTCTGGAGGTCCGCGCGGATTCCTCGGGCCAGCACCAGCCCACCCTTCCCAGGGCGCGCTGCGCACGCCGGGGGCGGCGCGCCAGGGGAGGGCCGGCGCCGACTCAAGAGAGGCCGCACGGACCTCCGAGGGTCTATAGGCTCATGCCACCTTTCACCGAGCGCGTTCCAGTGCTCGCAAAGTGCCTACTCGCAGACGTCCGACAAAAACACATGTCTGCTTCCATGTAATGTGTCGGAGGCCCCCCGCGGCGGATCCAGGCCATTTGCGAGTAGATCCTGTTGCAAGTAGTGGAACGCGCTCGTCTAGTCTTGTGCTCCTCTAGGCAAGCAAGCTCCCCGGCGAAGGCGCCCTGATGTACGACACGGCGCTGGCGCTGCGCGAGGTTGTCATGACCCGACCTCCCACCACCACCACCACCATCACCACCACTGCATGTGGGCACGGCAAGAGGCTGTGCCCGGGTGGCGTTTTTTGTTCTGAGCGTCGGGCGTTGCGTAGTGCACCGCTTGTATCCTGAAGGGGCCTCCTCCTGGGGCCCAAAAGGGGCACGGAAGGTGTACGTCTTAACCATCGCCCAATGAGCGGGTCCCCCTCCGTTCTCTTCTCCAGTCGCGCAGGTGCAATTCGCCACGGCGGAGGCCCCGCGACGAGTCTCCTGTCGCCGCTTCTGAGCCCTCAGCGGTCCTTAACTTAATAAGGAACGCTGGGGGCTCAGGAGGACGTCGTCGTCGTCGTGGTCGTCGTCGTTCCCCTTCAGGGTTGGCATCACCGGCCGTCAGGCCTTCGCAATAAGGACCGCTGTGAGCTCAGGAGCGGCAGTGTGTTGTCGGGCCGTTCCTGAGATCCGGGTCGGGGACCTCTTCGTGGCCGAGGCGCGCCGTGCTCCGACAAAAAAAACGCCCTTCCTTGTTTGGCGTTCCTCATGATCACGCGACGACTTCAGGCAGGGGGCGGGCGACCTTCCAGGCCTCGACGACTTCGGCGCGCGCTCTTCTCCGAGGGGCGGAGAGCCACCCGTCCCTCCTGCTTGTCAGCCGAGGCCGCGGAAACGCGCATTGGGGGGCCCCGAGGTGATGCACACCCTGGGCGTGTGCATCGACGGCGGCAAGGACTTCGGAGAGCAACGGTCGGCAAACGGCAAGCCTTCGGAGGTCCGCGCGGATTTCTCGGGCCGTCGTTGGACCTCCCCTCGTGGCGCCTCCAGCGCCGCCCACGTCTCGCTCCGCGCACCAGGGTAATTTGGGGGTCCAGAGATGGCCCCGTGCTGCAAGCGAGATGCGGAGCATACCCGTAATGACAGTTCGACTTCCCGGACCCTCCCCTTCCCCTTCCCCCCTCCCTCCGCCCCTCCCCTCCCTCCCCCTCAAGCTTCTTTTTCGCCACCCTGCAGGAGGTGGCGTGGTCTTGTTTCTCCAGTCCAGGTCGGGCACGACGCTTCCGGCGCGGCGCCTCCCGGGCGCCCATGCGCGCGTCCGCGCGCCCGGCAGGGGCAAAGTGATAGCCCCAGGGAATCCGCACGGACCTGTGGAAGGTTAGGCTTGTGTTGTTTTCCCCCACATCCTAAGTGGGGTTATTGTTTTCTCTGCCCCCCCGCGCAAGAAAAAACACCCTCTCCTCTTCTCTCCTCGCACACTCATTCACTCAATCACTCACACACATCATCATTCACACTCATTCACCAATTCATTCACCCACACACAGTCACACACGCATTCATCATCACTCACTCACTCACGCGCTCACCCACTCACTCACCCACCTACCCGCCCATTCAACCACCCACTCTCATCATCATCATCATCATCATCATCATCATCATCATCATCATCATCATCAGCATCATCATCAGCATCATCAGTATCATCATCTTGAATCATAATCATCATTATCACCTTCACTATCAGCTTCACCCACCCACTCACTCATTCACTGACTCACTCACTCATCTCAGGCGGGAGCCTCGTGTGTGAGTGAGCCGAGAGGAAGTCTCAGGCGAGAGCCCACTCCCTATGGCGCCCGCAATTTATGTGTGTAATCTAAACGGGTCATCGGAAAGTTGTAACCGGCCTCACTTTTGGGCCCCGTAAGTCCTGAACATGGAGGAAGTATCAGGCGGGAGTCTCGTCGGTGAGTGAATTGCGAAGAACGGTCAGGCGGGAGCCCCCTCCGCATGGGGCCCGCAGCTCATGTTTGTAATCCGAGCTGGTCATCGGAAACTTATAACAGTCGTCACTTTTGGGCTCTTCAGGCTGGAATATGGAGGAAGTATCAGGGAGCATCCTCGTCTGTGAATGAATTGTAAGGGAGCTGTGTTGGGGGCCGCCCGGGGAGCTATTTGGCTGTTGGCCTCATCGCGTTATGCGAGGCGAGAGCCTTTGGCCTCGTCAGGTCTGCGGGCCCCTGGCCGCCCCCGCTCCCTACCGCAGGGGATCTTGCTGCAGGTGCACGGCTTCAAGGAGTCCCCGATATATAAAGAGGTCACCGAGCTGCTGCTACAGGACGCCGAAGTCGCCGACGAAACCGGCGAGGCCCGGGCGCGGGCGCGGAGCTTGCTTATGTTCAGGCCCAGCGAGCAGGAGCTCACGTGGCAGAGCTCGTGGCCGCACGCCGTGCCCCGCTCGGGGTTCACCATGACGCACGCGGCCTACCTCACCACCACGCTGTCGCAGGGCCAGACGCTGCGCAAGGGCGTCACCATCGACTGCGCGAGAGACGAGGGCGCTGGCCGCACGGGAACGTCGGACGACCAATGGTGGCTGCATATCTACGTCATCCTTTCCCGCGCAACGTGCATGCGGAACATGCTGATCCTGTGGCCGCCGCCCCGAGGGTTCCTGGAACGTGGGCTGCCGGCGTCCTTGCGGAAGGCGCTCTTGGAATTTGACGTCAGAGCGGACAGTTCCAGGGCAGAAGCGGAGCAGCTCACGGCAGAGCCGGGCTTCGTGCTGCCCCCCGCCCGAACGCGGCGGCGCCCCGCTCGAAACCCGCGGGGTTGTCCCAGCGGCTTGGTTTGGCGCGCCAGCGGCTCGCGGGGCTGCCCCGACGGCGTGGCCCGCGGGGCTGCCCCAACGGCTGCGCGACGTGGGCGCGCCCGCGTTGGCCGAGGCGGCGACGGCGGCATGGAAAATCGACGCGCGCGCTCGTGCCAGGAAGAAGGAGATAACTCGAGGAGAGCGGGCGGGGGGGCGGAGGAGGAGGAGGAGGAGGAGGAGGAGGAGGAGGAGGAGGAGGAGGAGGAGGAGGAGGAGGAGGAGGAGGAGGAGGAGGAGGAGGGGAAGAAGGAAAAGGGCGAGGAGCGGGAGGAGAAACGCAATGAGGAGACGGAGGAGGACGAAAAGGCGGAGGAGGAGGAGGAGGAGGAGGAAGAGGAGGAGGAAAAATAAGAAAAATAAGAAGAGGATCGCACCTGCAACGAGTAGGACGAGAAGGAGAGGAGGAGAGGAGGAGGAGGAGGAGAGGAGGAGGAGGAGGGATGAGGAGGAGGAGGAGGAGGAGGAGGAGGAGGAGGAGGAGGAGGAGGAGGAGGAGGAGGAGGATGGGGGAGAAGGAGGGCGCAGAAGGCGGAAGGAAGGCCTCCGCCAGTTGCAGAAGAAAAGGCCGAGGGGCAAGCAAAATAGGTTCTCATGCGGGGTCCTACCGTCGGAGTAATTATTTCCCGCGTGTCGAATCCAGGCCTCCCACGTGGGGTGCGCGTAGATGTGGGCGGAGGATCGCGCCGCATCACCGATACATCGTCGATTCGCTATTCGCTGCGGAGCAAGGTTTTTTCCACGCCACCGGCACCTATTCATATTCGACGTTGCCAGCGGTGTACCGGCGATGCATCGGCAATGCGGCGCGATCTTCCGACCCCATCTACTATTACTCCGTCCCCATATGGGGTCTTCTATATCGAAGGACTCGCTGTCGATGTTCGCCCGCACGGACACGAAAGAGTTGGTGAAGGCCCCCGGGGAGCTCACCATCTCATTGTACTGCAGCTGCCCCGACGTGACCATGACCGTAACGCCCGACCTCAAGCGCCCAGCGTCCAAGGCCGGGCCAGCCGGGGGTCACAGGGAACATCCAAACAGCGGGGCCACGAGCCTTGGCCTTCCAGGAGGGCGAGCAACGTAACGCCAGAATTCTGGCACTATTCGAGTCGCAGTTGCTTACGCAGTCCTGGTCGGAGGGCTATTGTGCAGTTTTCTGGGTCGGAGGAAGGACACGCGACACCACAAACACCAGGGGGGGCCACTTCCATCGAGGGTGTCCACGATGCCTCCTCGAGCTATGGATGGGGGATGTGTCGGGCGAGACGGCGGACCCAACCATAACGAAAACACGCCCTGGCGGTTCGCGCTGGTGCTGGTGGTGTCGTCTTTTCTTCGCTCTTGTTTGGAAGACCACGTGGATGGTTGCAGGCCTCGTTGTCGCCTCGTGGCTGCGACATCGCGAGGGAGGACTGGGGCACGGCCTTGGTGTAGCCTCTGTAGCTCCAGGTCCGAGACAGGCCCCTCTTGTCTCGGGGTCGGACTCAAGGGGGCAGGGATAGGGAAAGGGGGATCTCTTGGGGGGGGCGGCCTCTGGGGTCTGCAGGCCATATAGGCGACCACTCAGACTCTACTCTCAGACTGCGTGGAGGCGCCTCGGGCCTTCCTGGGCCGTCTTGGGCCTTTTTGTTCGGCCGTCTGGTTTCGGCTTCTCCGCCAGGCGCCTTCCTCGATGCATCAGCGCACCGGGCGCGGAAACATCGGAAACGTGAACTGATTCGCTAACACACTCTCCTTGTCGTCCGACCCGAGTGTCGCCACAATGAATTTTCAATGTGGGCGGGCGGGGGTATATCCCCCGGGTCGGAGGTAGCATTCGAAGAGGAACATGACCGCCAGCGTTGTCCCGAAACGGTATGTTCTTGCACCCTCGATGTCCAATAGTTCGTCGCAAGCATGTCGTAAGTTCTGCACATGGGGTGATACATGTGTGTTATACAGCCTACGTGGTGTTAACTATGTGGTGCTGGTTCTACGTTGCAAGCTCCGTGATGGATTCTGCGCGTGTTGCAATCAATGTGTTGCAAGCCGTGTGGTGCAAGCTACGCCATGAAAACTATATAATGTAAATATTGTGGTGCACCTTATGCGACACAAGCTATGCCTTGCAATCTCTGTAGTGCAACATGTGCACAGCGCGATCTATGCGTTGCAAGATGTGTGGTAGCATACGTTCTATTTTGATATACGAAAGAGCGTGTTCTACCGCTGCTGGCGGAAAACCGGTGGGGGTCACTGGGGGTTCCTAATCCGTCCCCCCCCCCCTCGAAGGGGGGGTTACTACCTTTTCGACCCCCCCCCCCCCCAGTCCATCATGAAAAGAGGGGGGGTCACCACCGGTTCGAACCCCCCCCCCGCCATTCGAAAACCGGGGGGGTCAGTACCGATTCGAACCCCCCCCCCACCCCCCTCGAAAACTGGGGGTGTCACTACCGGTTCGAACCCCCCCACCCCCTTCGCCGCCGGCAAACGATGCCCGCTCCTCGGGACAGTTGGAGAACGGTTGGGATGTTCGGACAGTGGTGGGAACGGTGGTGGTGGGGACAGTGGTGCGGGGACAGTGGGACAGTGGTGGGGACGGTGGTGGACAGTGGTGAGGGGACAGCGGGACAGTGGTGGGGACAGTGGGACAGTGGTGGGGACGGTAGTGGTGGGGACAGTGGTGAAGCCAGTGGTGAGGACAGTGGTGGGACAGTCGTACAGTGGGGAAAGTGGTGGGGACAGTGGGGACAGTGGGACAGTGATGGGGACAGTGGGGACGGTGAGACAGCACAGTGGGACAGCGGTGGGGACAGTGAGACAGTGGTGGGAACAGTGGGGACAGTGGGATAGTGGTGGGGACCGTGGGGAAAGTGGGGAGAGTGGGATTGTGGTGGGACAGTGGCGGGGAGAGTGGGGACAGTGAGACACTGGTGGGGGCACTGGTGGGGACAGCGGGGACAATGGTGGGAACATTGGGGACAGAGGGACAGTGGTGGGGACGGGACAGTGGTGTGGGGACAGTGGGAATGTGGTGGAAACAGTGGGACAGTGGAGGGTACAGTGGTGGTGGCGACAGTGGTGAGGGCGGTGGCGAGGACGAGGACGGCGGTGTGGGATAATGGGACAGAGGTACAGTAGGGACAGTGGTGGGGACAGTGGGGTCAGTGGTGGGAACAGTGGGACAGCTCAGTGGGACAGCGGCGGGGACAGTGGGACACTGGGACACTGGGGACAGTGGGACAGTGGTTGGGGCCGTGGAGAAAGTGGGGAGTGGAACCGTGGTGGGAACAGTGGTGGGAACAGTGGGGACTGTGCGACAGTGGTGGGGGCACTGGTGAGGACAGTGGGGACGGTGGTGGGAACGGCGGGGACAGTGGTGGTGAGGACAGTGGTTCTGGGGACATCAGTGGGGGATGTGGTGCGGACGGTGGTAGGGACCAAGAGTTGTTTGCTGGCGGTGAGCGTGTGGGGGGGAGGGGTTCGAACCGGTAGTGACCCCCCCCCCGTTTTCGAGGGAGGGGGGGGGGTCCAACCGGCAGTGACCCCCCCCGGTTTTCGAGGGGGGGGCGGTCGAACTGGTAGTGACCCCTTCGGTTTTCCAGAGGGGGGGGGGGGTCGAACCGGTGGTGACCCCCCCGCGGTTTTCCCGAGGGGGGGGGGGGGTTAGGGAGAGGGGGGGTCCAGTAGGGGGGGAGGGGGGGTCCAGCAGGGGGGAGAGATTTTCGGAGGGGGGGGGAACCCCGGGGCTCCGGAGGAAGAGTGGCGGGAATTTTCCACAGTAAAGCGGCGGTGGATCACGCTCTGATATATATATATATATATATATATGTATAAATGTATGTACACATGCATGCATACATACATACAGTAGATAAACATATCTATACATATGCAACTACTATACATATACCGCATACTACCTGCGTATACATATGCATACATGCATGTATGTATCATGTACATGTGTATACAGACATACCTAATCATATATATATACATATATATATACACATGACTGCTCACGCAAGGGCTTCGCCCCTGCCGCTGGCCCCCTCTCTGTGAAAATAATGGGGCGTGCAAGAGCTATGTTGTGAGGCCTGGGCGCCGTCGTGAAGCAGCGTCGGAACTTCAAACGTGGGCCACTCGGGTTCGGGTCTCCCGTCTCCCGTCTCGGGCCACTGTTTGGTCAGTCTTGGGGCCCTCTTGAGCCGTCTTGGGTGTCTTCTGAGCCGTATTGGGGCCCTCTTGAACCGTCTTGGGGCGCTCTTGAGAGCCTCTGAGGCCGTCTTGGAGCGTCGGAAGCCCGACATAGCGAGCGTGCCAAAGTCCATCAAAGACTTTTGACAACCGCAGATGTTGGCCTCTTAGGCTGTTCTTGGGGGTGCTCTTGGAGCGCTCTTGGGGGCCTCTTGGGTGTTTCTTGGGCCGTCTTGGGAACATCTTGGGCGCCTTGAATCACCCTTGGACCGTTTCGGAGGCCTCTTATACCGTCTTGGGGGCCTTTCATAAAGAATGTTGGCTTCGAGAGCGCGAAAACTGAGTATTTTACAAGGGCGGAGAACTCGAAATTCACGAAGGATCGCGGCTCCGGGGAAGCAGACATGGTGTACCGCCTCAGAGACGCGAATCTGGCTAAACCTATTAGGAATTATGGTCTCAGGAGCGAGAACACTGTGTAATTTGCAAGGGTTTATGGTCTCGGGGGCGCGACAACTGCGTAATCATCCAAGGGTTATGTGGCCTCGGGGGCGCGGACAGGTTGTCATTTACGACAGATTATGGTCTCTGGGGCGCGGCCATTCTGTAATTGACGAAAAATTCTGGCCTCGGGGGCGCGAACATGGTGTCATCTACAAAGGATTATGGCTTCGGGAGCGCGAATCTCATGTATTTGCCCCAAGACCCCCCAGAACTTTCAAGATCCCCCCAGGTAGTGGAACTCTGGATCATTTTCGGCTCCCCCTCCTCGCGCGGACTTCAACATTTTACAGCAGAAATCAGAAACCAGGATTAAAACACTGGAGACTGGACAGTGCAAATGGCGCAGGGAGCAGCAAGACTAATGCGCAGCCCGGGTGGCCCCACAAGGGGGCCGGTGTATGTGTGTATATAAATGTATATACATATATATACATACATACATGTTGACATACATTTTTATAAAATATAAGTAGTTATACATATGTAAATATGTATGGATACACATATGCATACTTGTATATCTATATGGATACACACATGCATGTACATAGCTATACATATATAGTGGCGCAAGCTATGTGGTTCAATGAACTGATGATCACACATGTGTTGTCAACCTCGCTGCTCACGCAATCACCCCAACCTTCCATTCGCAACTTGTTCTGCACAGCCGATGCGGCCGCGATTGCGGTGACTCCTGGGCGCTTGCAAGCGCATCTTTGCGGCTGCGCTAGCGCACGAAAGCTCGCAGAGAGAGGCGCCAGCTGGCTTGACACAGCAGATGCGGCCACGATGGCGATTATCGCTGTGATTTTTGTCAGCGCGTCGTAAGGCCGCGCTGGCGCGCGGGCGCTTCCATGCGGGTCGGTGGTTCGGCTGGGCGCGGTATCATGATGACGCTGAGAACGACGCAAACGATATGATAGGAGGGACAGTGTTAGCGATGACAATGACGAAGACGATGTCCATGCGTCGGCGATGACTGCGTTTGGGTGGTGATGGCGACACTGGCGGCGAGTGTCGATGACGATGGCGTGATGCGGCGGCGCTGATGCAGATGATGGTAAGGAACGGCGCGCGTGCGAACATGCAACAAACCTGGCATATGCTGTGGAGCCACATTTGAGAGCTCTGTTTTTGGAACGCTTCGGGCACCAATAGTGCTGTAAGGATTTCGGCGGCACTTTTTTACAAGCCGAGAGGAGCCCTGTGGCAAGAGAAAGGGGGACGACGACGACAACGACACGACCGAGGGCGCGGAGAGGAGGGGGGGGGAAGCGGGAGAAGGGAAAACGCGCGCCGGGCGCGCGCCCGGGCCCT